AGATAATAATTTAGGGACTGGTAGATAAACTGTCACAAGGAGCTTCATAGGATGATACATATGTACATATATGTGTGTGTACATATGTGCGTGCATATACATGTGTATGGGTAGAGTAATTGTCCAAGGAGGAAAGGCTTTTGAATGGTGGAAGCAGAGGAAGGTTTGGAAGCGACAATGGTGAACAAGGAATATGCCGTCTTTCCCTATGCCAATGTGTTAGCAGGCATGAGAGAGTCTTTACAGTAGTTGAAAGAATGGCCAAGGATAGTGTCTACTGAGGGGAGCCAAGTCACCATGCATGTCAAAAGGTAGAAGGAGCACAAAAGGAAGAGGAACAAAATGAAAGTAGATTTGTTCATGATACCAGAGAGGGAAAGGCAAGGGTTCCAAAGAGCGGTAATGTTAATGATAATATCACATTTCACCTGAATAGCAATTTTACATTCCCAAGCATTCTTAGAATCATTTTCATTTGGTCCTCCCAGCAGCCCACTGAGGTAAGGACAGTGGGTTATTTTAGAATCAGTCAGTTGATGAGTATTTATTAAGTACTTACTATGGAGCAGCTAGGTAGTGCAGTGTATAGAGTACCAGATCTGGAGTCAGGAAGACTTGAGTTCAAATCTGGCCCCAGACACTAAGTCTTTTAAGTGACCCTGGGAAAGTCACTTAACTCTGCCTCAGTTTTCTCTTCTGTAAAGTGAGCTGGAGAAGGCAATGGCAAACCACTTCTTTGCTAAGAAAACTGCAAATAGGATTATGAAGTCAGACAAAACTTGAAAACGACCAAACAAAAACAGTATGTACCAGGCCCTAGGGATAAAAAGAAAGGCAAAAGCACACTCTCCTCTTTTTTTTTTAATATGTAAATTTCTTTATTTTTAGTTTTCAACATTCACTTCCACAAGTTTTTGAGTTCCAGGTTTTCACCCCATCTCCCCCCTCCCCCCACCCCAAGATGTCATGCATTCTGAATATCCCTTCCCCTAGTCTGTCCTCTCTTCTATCTCTCTCCCCTTCCCCTTCTGTTTTCCTGTAGGGCAGAATAGACTTCTGTACCCCATTTCTTATATTTCTTATTTCCCAGTAGCATGTGAAAACATTTTTTTAAACATATGTTTTTAAAACTTTAGGTTTAAAATTTTCTCTCTTCCTCCCTCCCCACCCACCCTCATTGAAAAGGCAAGCAACTCAATATAGGTTATACATGTGCAGTTATGCAAAACATATCCATAGTAGACATGTTGTGAAAAACTAACTCTATTTCCCTTAATCCTATCCTGCCCTCCCATTTATTCTATTCTTTCTTTTGACCCTGTCCCTCCTCAGAAGTATTTACTTCTGATTACCCCTTTCCCAATCGGCCCTCCTCTCTATCATCCCCCTGCTCTCTTGTCCCCTTCTCCCCCTATTTTCCTGTAGGGTAAGACAGATTTCCATACCCAATTGAATGTGTATGTTATTCCCTCCTTAAGCCAAATCCTATGAGAATAAGATTCATTCATTCTCTCCCCCCCGTTTCCCCTCCACTGTAAGACTTTTCTTTTCTGTTTTTTTTGTGAGATAATTTACCCCATTCTACCTCTCCCTTTTTCTTCTCCGAGTATAATCCTCTCTCATCCCTTAATTTTATTCTCCAGATATGACCCCTTAATCTTCAACTCACCCTCTGCCCTCTATCTATCTATCTACATTACATACATATAATTTTTTTCCTCCAACTACCCTAATACTGACAAAGGTCTCATGAGTTATAAATATCATCTTTCCATGCAGGAATGTAAACAGTTCAATCTTAATAAGTCTCTTATGATTTCTCTTTCCTGTTTACCTCTTCATGTTCCACTTGAGTCCTGTATTTGAAAGTCAAATTTTCTATTCAGCTCTGGTCTTTTCATCAAGAATGCTTGAAAGTCCTCTATTTCACTGAATGACCATTTTTTCCCCTGAAGGATTATACTCAGTTTTGCTGGGTAGGTGATTCTTGGTTGTAATCCTATCTCCTTTGCCCTCTGGAATATTATATTCCATGCCCTGCGGTCCTTTAATGTAGAAGCTGCTAAATCTTGTGTTATCCTGATTGTGTTTCCACAGTACTTGAATTGTTTCCTTCTGGCAGCTTGTAATATTTTCTCCTTGACCTGGGAACTCTGGAATTTGGCTAAATATTCCTAGGAGTTTTCCTTTGGGGATCTCTTTCAGGAGGAGATCTGTGGATTCTTTCAATTTCTATTTTGCCCTCTGGTTCTAATATATCAGGGCAGTTTTTCTTGATAATTTCTTGAAAGATGATGTCTAGGCTCTTTTTTGATCATGGCTTTCAGATAGTCCAATAATTTTTAAATTCTCTCTCCTGGATCTATTTTCCAGGTCAGTTGTTTTTCCAATGAGATATTTCACATTTTCTAATTTTTCATTCTTTTGGATTTGTTACTGTGTCTTGATTTCTCATAAAGTCATCTTCCAATTGCTCTATTCTAATTTTTAAGGAAGTATTTTCTTCAGTAAACTTTTGGACTTCCTTTTCCATTTGGCCAATTTTTCTTTTTAGGGCATTCTTCTCCTCATTGGCTTTTTGGACCTCTTTTGCCATTTGGGTTAGGCTATTTTTTAAGGTGTTATTTTCTTCAGTATTTTTTTGGGTCTCCTTTAGCAAGCTGTTGACTTGTTTTTCATGATTTTCTTGCATTACTCTCAGTTTTTCCTCTACTTCCCTTACTTGCCTCTCAAGATCCCTTTTGAGCTCTTCCAAGGCCTGGGACTGATTCATATTTTTCTTGGAGGCTTTGGATGTAGAAGCTTTGACTTTGTTGTCTTCTTCTGGTTGTAAATTTTGATCTTTTTCACCAAAGTAAGATAATATAGTCTGACTCTTTTTGCGCTGCTTGCTTATGATCCCAGCCAATTACTTGAGTTATAAACTCTTTGTCAAGGTAGAAGTCTATTTCCAGTGTAGAGACTGTACTGTCCCAAGCTTTGGGGGGTTTGTGTAGCTGTTTTCAGAGATACTTCTGGGGATCTGTAAATTTTCAGTTCTTCCAAGGTGGTATGATAAGGGGCAAGGTGTTTGCTCCTTTCCTGGCCTGCGACTAACAGTACTCCTTTCTGTCCTGTAACTGTGAGGAGGGGTTCCTCTCCACAGCCACTACAAGCTCCACCAAGCCAGCGCTCCTCCTCACCCCAGCACCGCAGCCCAGAACTGTGGCCCAGATGCAAACATGGGCAAAGCAAGAGATTCCTGCCTCAGCGCTGGCAGAGAGATCCCTGCAGTCCCTCTCTGATCAGACACTGGATTCCCCCTCAGTCTGTGGGCCGGAAGCTTGGGAAGCAGCTGCGTGCCCCCCCCCCCCACTCTTGGGGAATGGAGATGAAACCCCACCTTCCTTTCTCATCACCGACAGAAACAGACTTGTCCCACTGACCTTCTAAGTTGTCTTTGGTATCGGTGGATTGAGGAGTCTGGAAACCTCCACAGCTGCCCGAGATTCAGTCCTCTGAGGCCTGCTCCAGGTTCGAGGCAGGCTGCATGCCCACGCTGCACTGCCCTGCGCTCCCAGCCTGGCACGATACACCTTTCTGATCAATCATCCAGATTGTCTTGGGCTGGAAATTTGTTTCACTCTGTCTTTTTGTGGGTTCTGCTGCTTCACAATTTTTTTAGAGCCATTTTTAATGAGTATTTGGAGGGGTTTGGGGGAGAACTCAAGCTAGTCACTGCTTTCACTCCGCCATCTTGGCTCTGCCCCACACTCTCCTCTTTTAAGGAATGAGGAAGACAACACGTAAACAACTATGTACAAAGCTGGGGATGGAAATATACCAGGAAAGGCCTCTTGCAGAAGGTGGAATTTGAGCTGGATCTTGAAAAAAGCCAGGGAAGTTGGGAGGTAGAGGTGAAGAGGGAGAGAAATCCAACACGGGGGGCAGCTAGTGAAAATGCGTGGAGATGGGAAGTAGTGTTGTGTTTGAGGAGCAGTAAGAAGGCTGGTATCACTGCATTTTACCATTGTGAAAACCCAATAGAGGGGTTAAATGTCTTACATGTTTGATGTAGTCATTAATGATGGAATTTGGACTAGAATCCACGTGACTAAACTTCTGGTGCTCTTTTCATTTGCAGTATTGTTGTCATTGATATATCTGATTTGGTGTGTTTATTTTAATGCTTACTCCAGAGCCAGTACCTACTCATCCTGAGATCCATCCTTTGAGTGCTAATTTTTTTTGGAAATTTCTTTTATTGCTTCCTTTTTCTTGGGATTCTTAATGATGACTGGGTCATTTGGGAATTTATTTTTCACCTAAAAGGGAATCATAGAGGTCATCTAGTCCAGCCTCTGTATAGTTAAGGGAGCTTAGGATTCGAGAGGTTAACAGAATTAGCCAAATTTCACCAGGTGGTAAGTGATAGAGGTGAGATTTGAACCCAAATCCTCTGGCTCCAAATGGAGCACTTTTTCTACTGTACCACAATGCCTTTCTACTATTCATTTATTTATTATGATTATCTTAAGTGACTTCTTTCTTTGGCATCAATTGCATTTATTATATATCATTCATACAGTATAGCCAAACTCCACTGTACCATCAGGAAGGCCAAGGCCAATTAATTAATTATTCTTGTAGAATTATCCTGGATAATGTTGTTTCACTTAACATGGTGTCTCCATGGAGTCACCATGTTGATGGTGGCTAATGTCTAAAGCTATTAGAATATACCTGGGATGAAACCTGGACACTAAATGAGCTAAAATGCCATACTAATTCTTAAACTCTATTGTTATCTTATTCTATTTTGTTTCTTCCGAGTTACCACTATAAATTTAATAGCTTAAGAAATTCACTTAAGCTCTTTGTGCCCCATACATAGTGCAGTCTGTGAACTAAGATGAAAAAACAAAAACAAGAAATTAATGAATAAAATTCTGTGAACAGCCTTTAGATATTTTCAGGGAAAAGAAGCATGCTGTTAACTTTGTTTGTTTTTTGGTTAATAGGATGGGTTCCCAGATTTCCAGGATACTGTGCAGACCCTTTTCCAGCAGGATGCTGTAAAAGTTCAGTTAGCATTGGCCAAAGCTAAAGGTGAAGAATTTGCAGCACTTAATTCACAGGTAATGGAAACCGCCAGTTTGGTAGTCATTGACTTTTCATTCCCTAAAAATGGTGATTTGTAAAAAAAAAAAAATAATACTAATAATGAGTAACTGCGTCAGTTAATTTTAGTTTTAAAGTTTTGATGACTGAAATGATTTCTGGTTGCTTCTAAAGTTTACCCCCATCCACAGCTGTATAAACAAGATAGCTATCACATCCTTTTTAGTTTGGTTAAATTTATGAAGTGAATCTAATCTGGTCCTACTTAAACATTCTTTGTAGTTTTGAAGATTCAAGGCTGAAGAAAGACGCTGAAAAGTCAAGCTACTGTTAGCTGTGTAAAGGCAAAACAGTCACTTGCTTCCAATGGCTGCATGCACTAAAACTTCTGAAAATAAAGAGCAATCATAGTATTATTTAAAATATTTTAAACTATACAGTAAATACTGTGACCGAACTTTACAATTTTACCGTGATGTTTGTTGATGAGCAAGCACTACAACATGTACACGTGTCTGTACGATGCTGGGTTTTTTATAGGCTGTGTGGCAAAGTGGATGGGGTGGTGGGCTTGGAGTCAGGAAGGCCTGGGTTCAAATTTTTACTCCAGTTATGTGACCCAGGCCAGTTCTTTAACTGCTTGTGCCTCAAACCATTTCCTAGGATCATAGAATAATGGATTTGGAACTGGAAGACATCTTAGAGGTAATCTAGTCTAACCTCATTTTATAGATGAGGAAACTGAAGCCCAGAGAGGTAAAGTCACTTGCCAAGGGTCGCCAGGGTGGTGACATAGGTAGGATTTGAAGCCAGGGCCTCTAACTCCAAATCTAAAGCTCTTTTCAGTATACCCCACTGCCCTGTTATCGTAAGTTGCAATTTGTGTTGGTGAATAGAGTTTCCAACTCTAGGAGTCCTCCAAGGCGAAATTGTAGCTTCTTTCTGTACCTATCATACTGATGTTTGTTTTATTGATACTTATTGTTTTGATATCATGTTCATATCCTTCTCCCCTTCCCCTTCCCAGAGCCTTTCTTTGCAAAAAAAATTTAAAAAGGAAAACTAATTCACTACTAACATATCTACCACTTCTGACAACATATGTAGCATTCCACATGTGTAGTCCTTTGCCTCTCCAGTGAAAGGAAGGAGGTGCATTTTATAAACTCTTCTCTGGAGTCAACCTTGGTTATTTTAATTACATTGTATTCAATTTGTTTTATTGGTTTTTTTTTATTCTTTGCATTATTGTAGGCATTGTATATATTGATTTTCTAGGTCTGTTTTCCTTTTCAATCATTTTTCAGTCATGTCTGAATCTGTGACCCCATTTGGGGTTTTCTTGGCAAATATACTAGAGTGATATACCATTTCCTTCTCTAGTAATTTGACAGATGAAGAAACTGAGGTAAATGGGGTTAAGTGACTTGCCCAGGGTCACACAGCTAGTAAGTGTCTGAGGCCACATTTGAACTCAGGATTTTGAGTCTTCCTGACTTCAGGCCTGGTACTCCATTTAGTGCACCACCTAGCTGCCCTGTTTTCTTTTACTCTTCCTCATTTTATATACATATCTTCCATGTTTCTTGGAATTCATCTTATTAATCATTTCTTATGGTTCAGTAATATTCCATTATATTTATGTACCATAATTTGTTTAGCCAAGGGGTGGGGAACCTGTGGCCTCTAGGCCTCAATTTCCCCACCTCTGGTAGCCAGTCCCAAATCAACAAGCACCTGCTTTGTTTCTAGTGCTCTCTGCCATGAAAAAGTATGGCTTTGAATATTTTGGAGCATATCAGACCTTGCTTTCTGTCTTTAACCTCTTTAAGGTATATGCTTATCAGGAGGATCTCTGGGTCAAAAGATGGGGAAATTTTAGTCATTATTTTATCCTATTTCATGTATTTGTTTGTTCTTAAATTACTAAGGTGTTTCTAGTGGAACTGTCATTTCACATGAACATAATTTTTCCAAGTTGGGTTTATAAATCAATATGTTTTATCACAATGACAATGATAAATTGTCCATTGAAGTTGTTGTTGTTGTCAATTAGTTCTTTATTTTTCAAAACAAGCTTATTATTTATGTTTCTGTTTTTTTAAAAATTTTTGGTTCCAAATTCCCTCTATCCCACCCTTCCCCAACCCATTGAGAAGGCTAGCAATCTGATATTTATTATACATGTGAAATCATGCAAAACATATTTCCGTATTAGCCATATCACAAAAAAAGCAAAAGAAGTAGAGAAAGTTGAAAAGTATACATCAGTTTGCAAAGTTCATCAGTTCTTTCTCTGAAGGTGGATAGCATTTTTCATCTTGAGTTCTTCAGATTTGTCTTAGATCATTGTATTGATCAGAACAGTTAAGTTTTTCACAGTTGATCATCATACAATATTCTGTTGCTAAGTACAGCATTCTCTTGGTTCTGCTCATTTCACTTTGCATTATTTCACATAAGTCTTCCCATGTTTTTTTTAAACCATCCTGCTCATCATTTCTTATAGCATGTTAGTGTTTCTTTGCATTCATATTCTACAACTTATTCAGCCGTTCCCCAATTGATGGGTATCCTCTCAATTTCCAAATCTTTGCCACCACAAAAAGAGCTGCTCTAAATATTTTTATACATATAAGTCCTTTTCCTTTTTCTTTGATCTCTTTCTTCCATTGAAATGTTGATGGGCCATATTTAGGGTTGCATACTCTGCTTTTGTATCTTAAAGAAAATAGTTGTAAGATAATCATATTAAAAAAAAATGAGATTTTTAGTAAACTGCAAGCTTGATATGAGTCAACGGTGTGAAATGTTGGCCGAAAGAGCTAATGTGACCTTAGGCTGAATTATGGGAAGTATGGTGTTCAGTACTAGGGAGGTGGTAGTCCTATTGTATTCTGCCCTGGTCAAACCACATCTGAAATACTGTGTTCAGTTCAGGGCATCATATTGTAATAAAGATGTTGATAAGGTAGAATGGAGGAGGGCAGTCAGGATGGTAAGTGACCTCAAGATATTATATAGTTAGCATTTACATAGCATTTTAAGATTTGCAAAGTGCTATATGTAAATGTATATACCTTGTGAAGTAGGTACTGTTATTTTATCTATTTAACACATGAGAAAACTATGGGCTGAGAAAGGTTTAAGTGACTTGATCATATTTCACATAACTAGTTAAATGTTGGCAATTGGATTTGAACTGAGGTCTTTCTGACTCCAGGTCTCACATTCACATCTACTCTACCATCTAGTTGCCATGTCATATGAGGATCAATTGAAGGATCTGGGGATCTGTAATCTGGAGCATAGAAGACTTTGGGGGAAACAAGATTTTAATCTTGAAGTATTTGAAGGTCAGTCATGTAGAAAAGTGTCACGTGACTTGTTCTACGTGGCCTCTGAGGGTTTGTGTGTAAGTTACAGAGAGGAAGATATAGGCTTGATTTGGGGAGAAACTTCCAAATAATTAGTAGTATACACAAATAGAATGGATGGCTACAGAAGGTTATGATTTCCCTTTTCCTAGATACCTTCAAACAAAGAGTATACGACCACTTGTTGGTTATATCATAAAGCGGATTCTTTTTCAGGTATGAGTTGAATTAGATTGTCTCTGAGGTCCCATCTAGCTCTGAGATTTTGTGATTCTGATTGAAGGCTATGAGAAAATAAGTGTATGAATAGGATAAGGATAGGGACTTGGATCTGTGATTACAATGGTTAAAGGGAACTCCCAGGTGTGGAAATTCCCTCTACCAATGCAGGAAGGTTCCTTCACAATTTAGAGTCTTAGAAAGTTACCTAGACTGAACAAGTCATTGTATATTAATGTAATGGAATACTATTATGCTATAAGAAATGACAAGCAGTGTAATTTCAGAAAAACCTGGAAAGACTTATATGAACTGATGTAAAATGAAGTGAGCAGAACCAGGAGAACATTGTACATAGTAACAGTAATATTGTAAGATGATCAACTGCGAATGACTTAGCTATTCTCAGCAATACAGTGATCCAAGACAATCCCAAAGGACTCATGATGAAAAATGGTGTCCATCTCCAAAGAAAAAACTGATAGAATTTGAATATAGACTGAAGCATTCTCTCTCTCTCTCCCTCTCTCTCTCAGTTCTATTTTTCTGCCACAAAATGACTAATATAGAAATGTTTTATATGATTGCACATGTATAATCTGTATCAGATTGTTTACCATCTTAGGGAAGGAGGACAGGAAGGAGGGAGGGATAAATTTCAGAACTTAAAACTTAAAAAAAATGTTTAAAATTGTTTTTACGTGTAATTGCGGGGGGGAAAATATTATTTTATAAAAAGTTTCCCAAAGCACTGAGAGGTATTTGATTTGCCCAGGGTCACACAGCCATTATGTATCAGAGGAAGAACTTGACCCCAGGTCTTCTTGGCTCAAAGGCCAGCTTTCTACCTATTGAGCCACACTGCCTCCAGGTATATGAATATATATGTGTTTGGTGTGTATGTTTTTCCTTTTGAGTTACTTGTTAATTTTATATTTTTATACTTGTGGCCTAACACAATTAGGAGGCGATATAGACAGAAAGAAAAATTATTGCTTTCCATTTCTGAAGTTTTCTTAATACTTTATGTGAAGGCATTTAGTAATTTCCAGAGAAAAATTACAGAAGCACAAAACTCTGCAAGACTTTCAACTGTGTATTTTCTGTCTTGAAAACTAAGACTTTGGGGGAAGCTAAGTGGCGCAGTGGAGCACTGGCCCTGGAGTCAGGAGGACCTGAGTTTAAATGTGGCCTCAGACGTATAACACTTACTAGCTGTGTGACTCTGGGCAAGTCACTTAACCCCAAATGCCTCACCCCCCCAAAAAAAAGAAAGAAAGAAAACCAAGACTTTTATTTCGTTACTCAGCACATCATCTACAAATATTATATCACACATAGCAGTGTTTCATTTAATTTCAATATCTTAGGTAAATTCATATTGGGTTGATTTTAACTGTTTCCTCCTCATCAAAACATCAAAGATAAACCACTTGGAACACAATTCATAAAGCTTCAGTCTGTGTTTTATTTATGGCAGGGCAGGAAGAAGAGCTGAAGAAGCATTTGGAAAAATAATTGTATGTACTAGCAAAACAACAACATGTTTTACCTTGATATAGGAAGCAGGGTGTTTTGATGGGATTTGAAATTAGAGGTTTTAGGTTTGGGCCCCAGCTCTGCCATCTCAAGCTATTTGACTTTGGGCAAGTAATTTAACCTCTCTGAACAATTCAATTCAATAAACCATTTATTTAGCACTTGCTATGTACCAGACACCGTGCTAAGCACTCACTCTCTTCATCTGCAGAAATTATATGCCCCCTTCTTAACAAGGTTGTTGTGAGTATCCAATGAAATAGATGTCAGGCACTTTGTAAACTGCAAAGTGCTCTTTAGATTGGAACTATTATTAGCTTTTAGGGAAATGCTTCAGTCCTGCTCTGCTCCATAACGAAAGTGAATATCCTCTTGCAGTGTGGAAGTTGTTCAGTGTCATTCTGTATTGTTTAATTTCTGTAAGAGGTAAATTGGGCTGATTTTATAGATGGAAGTTTTACACCTTTTCTCTCTATAGCCATAATGCCCTCCTCTATTTTCAGAATCCGTGTAGTATCCCAAAATAAAGATGCCAGGATATCGCCCTCTGTGTTGGAAGAAGCTCCTAACAGATGCTGCTATTTCATTTAGATTTCTTAGGAAAAGAATCTTTAAAGGGGGCTAAGTAGCTTGTACCACAATCCCCAAGACCTTTTGCTTTTCAGTTGAAAGAGGAATCCTTTTTATAGACCTTGGAAGACAGCTTGCTTGCCAAAAATCCATTTGGTGTTGTAGCATGATAATATAGGCATGCATGCATATTTATGGAGCGTGTGTATGATATATGAAAGTGTGAACTTATTTTAATGAATGCAAAGTATATTTGCTTTGGAGTCTTAAATTGGCACCTTCAAACCTTTCAAGAGCCTGATCTAGACAGTTTTAGTCACTGATTTTATTTTTGCTTTATTAGCAGCCTGAAAAGGTGATGGCAAAACAGATGGAGTTCCTTTGCACCCAAGCTGGTTATGAGAGACTACAACATGCAGAGAGGCGATTGTCTGCAGGGCTTTATCGGCAGAGCTCAGAGGAGCACAGTCCAAATGGCTTAATAGCAGATAATTCTGACGGACAAGGTATACATGCTACCCTGCCATGATGTTACAGCCAGGAGTAATTATGAATTTCAAAGACAAGTGGACAAGAATATTATTTCTGTTTGTCTTATTTTCCAAATGGTGTCTTAGAGGTTTTTACTTAAAATTATTTTTCCTAAATTGTTCCATTTTTACAAAGACAAAGAAAAAGCTGCTTTAGGTTTTTGGGATTCATTTATCTATTGATAGGAAAATTTTCTTTGTTTCCTTTGATCTCCAACTTTATCTGACACATGTGATTGACATAGATCTTGTAAAATGTGTGGGTGGAAAAGGGAGACTTAATGAGTGGAATGAGAATAAATGAGATGCCTTATTTCCCCCAAAGATTTGTTGACCAGAGTGAATGCCCATTTTTCTAAGAAGGACCAAAGGGCAGTATTACTTAGACTTTAAAAAAAAAAGAGCCAACAGTGAAACCTGTTGGGTTTTGGTATTTAGTTTCTCAGAAAATATGGTGACTCTTTCCAAAGCAGTATGACCTGTCCATTAGAATGGACAAATGTAAAGGACAAATTAGATTTTATTCAATGGCACACATCAAAATTACTTGTCCTCTGAAAATATGATCTGTGTAGTAAAACTTCATGTTTTAAAGATTCATGATTTCATCGGTGTGGATACTCCCTTCAGTGATATGATCATAACCTCGTTAGACCTGATACATGGTCATCAGCACTGGCTGTTAGACACAGAAAAAAATTATCACCATGTGGCCAGACTGGTCTTGAAGAATCTGGAGTCTATAGACACCCTACCATGAGGCATCAGAGTAGGATTTGGACATTTTTTTTTCTCATAAAGAAATTAAAGTGTAGGATTTGGGGAGTGGGTATAAAGTTGGGAAAGGATTCCTAAGAGAGAAGTGTCTCATGTCTGTATTTATGTTTTTATACTATATTTCCCTGTCCTTTCCCCATAAAGATTCAGAGCCATTGTCATTTCTTTGTGAACCTATCAGTGCTACACTTATATCTACCAGAGTTGTTGTTTTAGTCCAACAAGAAGAAACAAAACACTACATATTATTGGAAGAGGGTTTGAGCATTAGAGGTGGAAGGAAAGAAATTTTTTCTGTTTTTTATATATTACAAAATGGTTTTCATTGAAGTCTCCCTGTGTCTCTCTTTTCTGTCATGGGCTTAATATTAATAGGTATGTAATGAAGGCAGACTTATGAAGAATTGTAGATTTAGAAACTGGTATGAAGTCAGAGACCTGAATATTTTAGTAGCTGTAACCAAAAATTACTTTCCTTGAGAACTGTTAATTTTAGACCTAACAGGTTTGCTTTTAAAATAAATGAGTAGACTTAAATTAAACACACTTACATAGCTTCCAACTTAGAATATCCATAGAGAGAATCCCAGAAGAAAGGATAGCAGCATGTGGAGGTCATGTGTAGCCAAATGAAAAGAATCCCTTTTATAATGAAGTTAAGGAATAGTGTGAGAAAGAACTTTCATTGCTGATGTAAAGCATCTATTCAGAGGCTTAAAAAAAAAGCTTCAGTTTTCATGGGTAGTCTGTTGGCACCTCTGGAAGAAAAAAAATCAGTAAAAAAATGTAGTATTATGAATTGCAAATGTGTTTTGATTTATGGGAGTATATAATTTGGAATGTACCATTTTTCAGTCATATCTCTGGACTCTCATTCTCTTATGCACATTCTTGTGGTCTTTCTCTGTAACAAACTGGTATTTTTTAAAACTGCATTTGGCTTGAAGCCACTTGCAGTACTTTGTAATACACTGAAAATTAGGACACCTTTTTGAAAAGAGCTGTAGCAAGAAAATGCCTTAAGTAGGAAATCTTTTCTTTTTTAAATATGAAGTGGGAATAAGGATTGGGAATCTCAATTTTTAGCTCATTCGTTGTGAATTTTATTAAAAATCTAGTAATTTGTAGCACATGGAACAGAATTGTACTTCTCAGAATTTAGTAAAATCCTGCGGAAGAGGCAGTTTGGTTAAGCAAAAAGAATCAGAGGGTCTGAGATTGAATCCTGGTCCTGCTATCTATAAAAAAGATCAAGGCACTTAATTTCTGTGGACCTGTTTCCTCGCTTTTACACAATGGTGGTGGTGATGATGTTGGATTGTTGTTGTTCAGTTGTGACCAACTCTCCATGACCTCATTTGCAGTTTTCTTGGCAGAGTTACCAGAGTGGTTTTCCATTTCCTTCTCTAGTTCATTTTACAGATTAGGAAACTGAAGCAAACAGAGTTAAGTGACTTGCCCAGGGTCACGCAGCTACAAAGTATCTGAGGTCAGATTTAAACTCTACGGCTGGCGCTCTATCCACTCCACCACCTGCCTGCCCAGTTTTGGTCTAGTGGCTTCTAAATTTTCTTCTAGCTCTTAAGTTATCTGTGCTCCATGAACTTGATTCCCTCCCCCCCTTTTAAACAATTATGATTTTTTTCTCAACCACTGTCAAAAAGTTTCTGGTGCTCCTTTTTTTCTTAAAAAAAAAAAAGCAAAACTGCTGTAGCTCTAAACATTACTTCTCATTCTTAAAACCTTTTTTTAATGTAAAGAATCCTGGCTTTGTCTAATATAATTTTAATGTAGTTTGTTTTCTTTTTTCAGTAGGAGAAAGACCCTTGAATCTCCGAATGTCCAGTTTACAAAATAGACAGCCTCCACATTTTGTGATGGATGGGGAGCTGAGCAGACTTTATTCCACTAATGAGGCCAAGTCTCAATCATCGGGTAAGACTGCAGGCTATATGATGAGAAAGAACTTCACTTATCTCTTAAGTTTTTGCTAGAATTGTGCCTCAAAGTATCACACGATTTTTTGCTATTTTTTTTATTTTTGGAAATCTGTCGAGTATAATAAAACATTATTGCATATTGGCATTTCCAAATTAAGGGCCCATATATAGCAGACACATGATTTTAGGACACGGCAGGTTACAGTTTTCATGTGTTGTTGCAGCTGCTCTCTGGTGATGGTTATGTAAATAGATAAGCTAACCATTAATTTCATTATTTTTAATGTTATATTTTTTTTTATGTTATATCTTTTTTTTTAATGTTATATCTTTAGAGGCAATAGTAGATAGAGAGCAAGTCTTAGAGTTAGGAAGCCTGGGGTTAAGAATCACTTAAACTTTCAGAGCCTCTGGTGACACTCTCTAATATGTCAAATTGCTGAAATGGTGCTGACTTGCGTTGAGAGGGAATTGTTAACCTGGAGCTCCCTGTATTGATGAAATCACAGAGCCAGTCAAAAATAAATTATTCTGCTTATGTGAATCATAACTTTAAAGTGGTATGGAATTGACTACACTTACATGTGTGTCTGTATGTTAAAAAACTCAGTATACAAGAATTTAAACTTCCCAAGCAGATTAATAAAAAGGGGATATTAATAGTACCAAATTTTATTTAATTAGCAATTGCTAGTTAATGATAGTACGCGTAAGTGTTTGTTTACATATCAGAGTTTATTGACTATTTAGTGAGGGGAAACAGTTAAAATAGCAGTTGAAACCACTGCACTGAAGATCCATCAGAAAAAGAGAAAGTATCTAGTTCAATTGCAAATTAAATTTAGGTCAGCTGGCCTACTCCAACACTTAATATCACAGATGAAGAAACTGAGGTTCAGAAAAATCATAACATGGCAATTATTATGTGACTTAATGAGGGAATGGGAATATGCTTAAGAGGACAGAATTAAGAGTTACACCTAACTTGTCAGGAATATCCATGTTCCTTAAAGTTAAGTATACCTGTATGGTGTGCTGTTGATAGTCAGCCATTTACTTTCAGTACCCTCTACTATAAGCAGATATCGGTAAGGCTGAAAGCCCTAATTAATTCTGCATGCTGTGATTTCTGTTCATAATTTTTTCTTTTTTTTTTTTTTTTGGAGGGAGGGGAAGCAAGTCACTTAATAAGAGTCTGGGAATGCCATAAGGAAATTGTGGAGAGTAAAACTCTGTCCTGGTTACCCTCATGGATTCCACCAGATTTGAGAATGATACTGCTTTCTTTAAAGGACTTCTTTTTTTTTTTCCTCAACATTTTGCCCTAATTCCCATTCTGTGAAAACTTTCTAAATAGGAACAGTTCACATATCTTTGGTTAGGTACATCTTGCATCCATATAGATATGTACTTCTATACTTGTTGCATAGAAGTAATTGTACTAAGGGCTTGATAGAAAGCAAAGTAGAGGAGCTACTGGACCAGTTGGGAAGCCCCTGTATATACCAGAAAACTCTGTAAGGTGAGTTCTATGATTTTAGGGTAGAGCTGTTAGTTTCTGCTAGGATTTCTAGGATACTTGGTAAGCCAAAACAAAAATAGCCTTAAGTACTAAATTGAAGATTTCATTTTATCTTTGTGTAAAATGTGAAGTGTGTTATGCATATATTATTCCATAGAATGCTTCATTGTTAGGTTTGCTTTTTAATTAGTAAAGGAAGGAGAGGCCTCTCTAGATCCTTCACCTTTATGTTGTGTATTTAGGAAAATCTTTTAAATATTCCTGTATTTTGGAGCAACTAGGTGGCGTAGTGGATAGAGCATGGGCCCTGGAGTCAGGAGGACACTTAGTAGCTGTGTGACCCTGGGCAAATCACTTAACCCCATTGCCTAGCCAAAAAAAAAAAATGTTCCTGTATTTCATTGGGCAAAAGCTTTTCCTCTCACAATATTTTCAACCTTTCCAATATGTTTTTTGACCAGAAACTTTTTGTAATTCTATGTTACCCTTCAATTTTATTATGTCTTGTATTATTTTTTTTAAAGAAAATAACCTGTTAGAGAATTAAAAGAGATCATGGGTTAGACAGACAGCATGATGGATTGGGTAGAGTGTTGAAGTTGGAGTCTGGCTAACCCAGGTTTAAATGCCACCTCTCACACTCTCCACGTTTGTGGCCCTGGGCAAATTACTGAACTTTCTCATCTGTAAAGTGAGGATACCTACCCCTGCAGGGTAGTAATGATGCTTTCATGGGACCGTGTGTATAAAATGTGTATAAAATTTTACACTGGGAATAGTGAGGCTGAATTTGAGATTAGAGGGTTTGGAGTAAAATTCCACCTCTGCTCCTTTTTACCTTGATGTCCTTGGGCAAAGACACTTAATCTTTCTGGTCCTCAATTTCCACATCTGTAGAATGAGGGTGTTAGGCTTGACTTAAATCAGTGATCCATTGAACTTTAAAGTGCCATATGAACAACTGTTATTAAATTGTATTTTTCATGATGATCCTGATATAAGCATTTGTATTCTTTCCTAAAATTTGTGTATATAGTTATTGTATAATTCATCAATCCCAATACTCATAACATCTTTCTTTGTTTCCATTTTCACACAGAAAGCCTTGGGATCTTAAAAGATTTTCCTCACTCAGCTTTTAACTTAGAAAGGAAAGTCATAAAAACAGAGCCTGAAGATACAAGATAGCCATGATTCTCTCATTGTACCTTGAAAAAAAATGGCATCAGATCTGAGGATAAAGCTACAATACAAAACCAAGCCTTAATAACCAATGTTGCCTCATTCAAGTCAAACAGATTTCATAGCCAAAGCTTAAGGACTGGTACATTAGTCTGTGGAAACTGAGTGGGGAGGGTGGGGGGAGAAGGGATAGCAAAAACATCACAATCTAGAACAGTAATATCGGTAAATACACATTCCTGTATAAGTTGTTTCATCATGTGGGGATGCTTACAAATTAATATTGTAGGCATCCATTATTTAAGAATGTAAAATGTATTTGTATAACTTATAAAAGTAAACTCTAGGTGTTGAGACATGTATTCAGTCCAGTAGATGTGGATACAATTTATTTTACTTGAAATTTCAATGTCTACTTTAAATGTATCTAGCATAAATATGATTGTTATACATCAGAATTAAGAAGTCTATGAAATTGTAGGAAAGAAAGATAATTAAAGTGACAGGTAAACAGCAAGTTTACTTTATTTGAGAAAATAGAAAACAAGTACTTCATATTTTAATGAAGTTTGAGTGGCTATTACCTTTGATAAAGCCAAACTTGTTTTGGAGGAGATATATATGTGTATATATATATATGACATTTATTAATGTAATGTCATTTTACCGGTTTCATCAGTATACTTTTAAATATTAATTAAGTACTAGGGAAAAGCCAGAAACATCAATATGGTGGCTGCCGTGTGGACATGACCTACAACATTTGGCCTTTGCATAGCTTAACCATTAAGGCATTAAAAAAAAAAGATTGGAATATCTTTCTTGGACAGAAAACTTGAGACAGATAGACTGATGTGCAAACGGCCTGGTTTCAGTATGGATGTTTCAGAGCACTAATGTGGATCATAGAAGGAGTTCATCCAGAAGGTGATAAAGATATGATGGATAATGGCCAGATCCATTATACCATTACTGAAACAACTTTCCTCTGTATCTTGAAATTCTTTCTCTGCCTGCAGAGGTGGATGTGAGAGACTAGATGCCAATAGGAGGTGCCCTCATGCCCAAATGATGCTATGTTTTTACCAATCACTGGAGACACTGTGCAGACATTCTTTTCTACATGTGCTTTTAGTTGATACCTGAATTTGTTATTTATTTTGCAAGTTAGTTTTTGGTACACATTTCATCTCTTCAAATGCTTTTTTCCCCTGAGAGTAATAATAGCTTGAATGCGTTTCTGTTTTTAATTTCCACTGTTTAATGTAAGGCTTTTGGCATGCATATATATGTGTATATATACATACATGTATGTATGTGTATATATATGTAGCATATTCACATGCTTAGAACATATATATGCCTATCTATGTAAGAATTTCACATTTGAATCCTTCCCCCATGATGCAAATGGGGCTTTTTCCAAAACATACTTTCTCTATTGGTTTAAGAGATAGTAACAAGGGCGTTGGTAATAGGCAGATCTCTATGTTGTTACAAAGTAACTTAACTGTTGGTTGAGAAGGTGACATGCTCCACAAAATGCACCTTTTCTGTCTCTAGTTGAGTTCTGCATTGTAGATATGTAACAATTACTCAGTCATCATGTATGTCATACTAAAATTTGTCAGCCCAGTGTTAAATGAGGTGTCTGCACTGTAGTTCCTAATCACTGTAAATGTGTATAATTGTTTTATCACTTTTGATTTGTGGAACAGCTTTATAGTGGAAACACCAGTCAACAACTTTTCTATTATTAAAAGGTGGTTTTTCCTCCCTAAATGGTTCATTGTACTGTATGTGGTGTTTTGACCATTGGCCAAGCTTTTTATGTATGCTTCAACTTTGTTGCTGGTTTGAGGTTGAAGATATGGTTGTCTTTGTTCACTGTTTGTGGAAATAGTATAAGTAGGATTTAAATAGATTGTTTCTTCAGTTTTTAATATTAGCCATAGCACTGGTTAGTATCTGAGTAGTTTCATGAAACGTTTCATGTATTCTAATATGTTTTGAGAGATTTTGTGAGATTACAAAAAAAAACCCTGAATATTATTGTTCAAGTTTATAGACAGTAAGCAACAGATTTTTTTTTAAAGATGCAGTAATCTTCCCTCCAATATTTGTCACAGTGCCTGTGATCAAAAGATGTGCATGGACCAAAAGACTTCATCTTTGAATACATATATATGTATGATTGGTTAGCATCGTTTGCTAATCTTTCAAGTAATGATGAGGAGAACACCTCACAAGAAAAATTTCAGTAAAATATAATTTTTATTTTGTAAACACTAATGTATTAAATTTGCTATATATTAAAGCATATAATATATATTTTTATTTGAATTGTAAATATGATTCAGTTGTCTTAGCAAGTTCACTATGTTGTAGGATATTTTCTCCAAACAAATTCTATTGGTTACTTCAGTATCACAACTCAAGAGGGTTAGTGCCCCGATATATGATGCTTTACCATGTGAAGTTTGTAGCTCTGTGACTTATTGAGCCTGTCCACTTGATGAAAAGAATGAGGATGGCCAGGAGCACATTTGCTTCCTGTGGTAGTTTAAAAAAAAGTTTTAGCATTTCATGTATTTCTAGCTTTTAAGACAAACTATTTTTCACTAAATGGCCTTTCCAACTCCTAGTTATCTGTTTAACATCTATCATTCTAAGCAGTAAGTTTCATGGTATCTAGAGATTGATTCCTTTAAAAAAAATTCAACAGACTTTATATTTCCTAGTATAGGCCTTTGCTGACCATGGGGATTCAGTAAATTCTGTTGAGTAGTTTTGCTGCTAGACTGATTTTGGTCATGATTTCATTTGAACACTGCACCTACGTCTTCAGAAGTGAATCATTCCATTAAGGCACTGCTGTAACAAACTAGCAGCCCTCTTTGCTAAAGGATACAGATTCATTAAGTAGGAAATAGCTAAAGTTAGCAAGAATTTGGCAAACATTTGGTATTTACAACAGCTTGAAGCATATGACCAAAGATGGTAGCTGCCGCTTAACTAAAGATCAGGGTATGTCCCACCTGTGCATGTGAGAAATTTAGGAAATCTGTTTCATTTAAACTTTATCAATTTATGGGCATCTGATTAAAACTATCTTCATTATTACTGAAATTTTTTGAAGTGTCAAAAAGTAGAATACTATTTTCTAAAAGTTTTTTTAATGTACTAATTTTTAAACCAAGCCATTTACTCATTTAGTGGATTTATAAGGTTGCCAACACTTCACAATGGGGAAGAGATAAAGCTAAGAATTTTAAAGGCTTTGCCTCTGCCTTTTCTTGGATGTGCTATATATATCGTAACAAAGCATTTAAATCCTCTTATCTTCCCTTAGTCTTTTTTTACTCACTCTTACCTGGCCTCTAAAAGAAGGGGGGCGGGGCAGAGAATAAGTATTCATTAGCTTAGAAGATTTACATTTAAAATGTTCACCCCAAAATGTTGAAGGTTGAGTCTTCTAACATGCCAAATAAACACTTTCTTTAACCAAGAATTAAGACATTTTGTTGCATTTGCATTAAAAAAAAATTTTCCCCTTCTATTTCAATTCATGTGAATAATAATGTACATGTTGAGAACACTAGTATGGTGCGGTGGAGAGAGTGCTAAATTTTAGAGGGCCTCTGAACTCTCAGTCCTTGGAGAGTTATTTAACCCTCTGTGCCTGTTTACTTGGTTGCACCAGCATGATCCTTGAGGCCCCTTCCAGCTTAAAGACCATGGTTCTATGAACCCTTCGCTTCAATTTCAATATCCACTTATGAAGAATTTCTTGTTGGCATCCTTCTTTTGCTTGCTTATTTTTCCCCTAAGTAGTGTTCAGTAAGGGAATGCCTCTCTCAGCCCTTGATGCCTTTGGACTTGATAAATTTTCATGCTTCAGTAAGCATCTAAAAACAGTTTATTGCATGGTAGAGCAGATGATTTGTTTCTTTAAATTGGTACAATCTACCCAGAATAAGACCTTCTGAAGTTCTTACTCATTCTTTAATGAGCAAATATAGTCTTTACTTCAAAACAGAGTTGGCCCTTCAAATTTTCTTATGATGCAGCTTTTTCATAAAACCAACTAGAAACCATGCATTGGGGAAATGATACTGGTTGTATGTGATCATAAAGACAAAATGCTATGAAATTCCCTCCCGGCCCATAAAACTGATATGTTAGTGTCACATTTGCCAGTCTTTAAAATATGAACCCAGGTTCTGATCAGCAACTTAAGTGTATTTCCTGGTAACCCAAACAATCTGATCATCTACCCAAACTAATTTGACTGTGGGTGAACTTTCAGTGACGTGGTAAGTTAGATTGTGCACTGTATTTACACATTCTGAAACTTCTGAGTCATCTTTGCACCACTTAAAGTTTGCACTTCATAGATTTGTGTTTAAAGTACCAACACCCACACACAATCCTAAGCAGGTAGACCATTGTTTATTCTGTCATATGCACCCAATGTCGACAGGTCATTTAGGCATGAGTATGTAGGAAGATACTTAGCAGTACATGTGTAGGTGGAATCTTATTCCTAGCCGCTATGGATCAAATAAGCATCATGATGATACACTCAAAACGTCTCTTGAACAAGCCTGTCAATGGTTAAATAAAACATTCACAGAATAGCCCTTGTGACCGGTTGCTTTTTCTCCTTACCAGAAGACAACTTGATTACTCTCATATTATGTTTGGTTATTACACTCTTCCAAGGACAGCATAATCTTCATTTCTTATCAGTTTGTCAGCTTCTCAGAAAATTGTTCCTTTCCCCCTCCATTTTCCCATAAAAGTGTCTAAGAATATTTTCTTCCTTATTGAAAATGAAAGTGGCCCCTTTCCTACTTTCTTTTTCTGAACTGAGTCCAATCTGTGTAGGCTCTTTAGCGTGCAGTTAAGGCAACAAGCATTTATTAAGCATCTACTATATACTAGGCACTGCATATATTCATAAACTTGTGTGAATTTCTTTCACATTCATCTGCTACTTACAATTTAAGTCTAAAACTTTCTCCAAAGTTTTCTGATTTTTGTAGATTATGTGAAGAAGACTGCACGGCAGCTTCTACTGTATATTGATTGAACCAAATACTAAGAGCCCTACATTGGGATGGGGGGAGGGGCGGCATAGTCAGAATATTCTAGTAACCAAGATAGAATTTTTTTTGGTTGTGGGAAGATGGGGACATTTAACCTTCAACTTTCCTTTATCGCTTTAAATAAAAAGGAAAAAATGAAGTGGCCTAATTTCTTTTTAAGAAGGAAGTATACATTTTTTAAAAATTTCATTTCCAAATAGAAAGTGATACAAATTCTATTTTGAATATTTCAAGACCATTTCAGATTCATATTTGATATGGTATACTCAGGAAGATGCTATAAATCTTTACTTACTAGAGCTTATCACTTGGGACTGAGGCAGGACCACCTTCTGCTCTGTATTAATATAAGAATAAATCCTTATAAATCAGATGGCACATCAGATCTGTGAAGTTGCAATCATATGTAGAGTATGATACTGAAGAGATTGCTGGATCCAGCTCTGAAAGCCATAGGAAGGCCAACTGTTAAATTTCAGTGCGTTTACTCAGAAATTGGCAATTGCTCTAAGTCAAGGCTTTATTTATTGTTTTGTTAATTGCCTAGACTTAAGAAAGTTTTAACAATGCAGATGAAATTTAAAAGTGTGTGTGCACTTTTCCCCCCAGAGAGCTTGGTCATCATTCATTTATCATCACATCCCTGTATTGCTCTATAAATGTGGCTTGAGCTCAGTGGACTGGGGGTAATGTTATGATATGATAAACATTTATTAAGAGCTTACTATATGCCAGGCACTGTGCTAAATACTAGGATACAAATTTGAAAAAAGAAAGACAGTCTATGCCCTGGAGGAACTTATGATATAATGGGGAAAGACAATACACAAAAGGAAGCTGAGAAGGGAAAGGGATAATGATGATGTTGATGCCGACGCTGATGATTGATGATGATGGAGACACAACGAAGCAGAGCAGCTGGTGGCTATAATAATAATGCATTAATATAGCATCTTAAGGCTTCAAATTGTCTATCAAAGTGTTTATATCCACTGTCTCATTTAAGCCTCACAATTCTTTGGATTATATTTAACCAGAAATTTAGTTTTAACTATTTGCATTACAGAGGCAGTGTTTGGTGGCTAGAAAGCTGCCCTGAGTCAAGAAATCCTGGTTTCAAGTTCCAGCTCTGATTCAAACTGTTTTTATGATCCTGGGCACATCACTCAACCTCTCTTTTCCTTCTGCAACTCTTAAGCTATGGAACAATTAATTAAAGGGACAGAACAATTGCTGATGTGATTTGGTAGAGAGACTTTCCTTATTGGGAACTCCTTACACTGATGAAATCACAGATCTAGACAAAGAAACTGTGAGCCTAACACTACAGTGTTGTTTATAGTATATAACATATAATTAGATAAGCAGGAGAAGCACAAACAGAAAGATATCAGAAATCTACCCATCCATAGAAGTGGTGGTAGCTGTATATGACCACTAAGGAGTTTGTACCTCTTGGAACCAAGTCTGGTCTCCTTGGAGGAGGCAAGTTTCAAGCAGTTTTGAAAAAGGGGAAGACCTAGTTTGGTAGGAGGGGAAAGCATTTGCATTCTGTCAGTAGTGTGAGCCAAAGGTCCAGCATGGGAGCCAATGAGCCATGGTGATGGAATGATACAGAGGAAGGGCACCAAACTGGGTATACTTTTAGCTTTGTCTCTGATATCAGAGTTTGTTCTATGGAAGGGGTTACCATTCAAGAGTAAAAGGAATCCCTCTAAAAATGCTGAGGAGAAATTCATTGCACTGCCTTTAGAAGAATGCCTTTAGGTAGGGGGAAGCTTGGAGAACACATGAGTTGGAGCCAGAGGACTTGGATTTGAATCCTGAATCTTTTGGTTAAAAACTTTGCAATCTGGGACAAGTCACTTCAAATCAACAAATCAAATGAACAAGCTTTTAATAAGTGCCCAATGTGGTCTAGGCATTGGGCCAAGTGCTGAAGATACAAAGAAGGGCAAAACCCCCACAAAAAAAACCTCAAACCCCAAAGTAGTATCTGCTCTCAAGGATCTCTAATGGGAGGAGACAGCATGGAAAAAAACTGTATACACGCAAGAAATATATCTTGTAGAAGGTGGGATTTTAGCTGGAACTTAAGAGAAACCAGGGAAGACAGAGCTAAGGAGGGAGAGAATTGGATTGTCTTGTGTGAACACCAAGGAGGACAATGGCACTGGATTATAGAATTGCTATAAAGGTAGGAAGGGGTTGACTTATGAAGGGCTTTAAAAAACAGAGGATTTTATATTTGATGCTGAAGGTGAGAGGAAGCCACTAGAGTGTAATTAAATAAGAGGGTAACATGGTCAGACCTGTGCTTTGGGAAGATCACTTTGTTAGCTAAGCATAGCATGGACTGGAGTGGGGAGAGAAAAGGAAGGGACATCCTCCAGAAGTTCGTTGTAATAATTTGGGTATGAGATGGTGAGGGTCTGCCTTGGGGTGGTGGCAGTGTCAGAAGAGAGAGAGGGAAGGTAAAGAAGGTAAAATTGACAGGACTTGGCAACATATTGGATATGGGGGAGGGGAGTGGAAGAGAGTGAGGAATCAAGAATGACACCTAGGTTAGAACCTTCCCAAACCATAGAGAACTTAGAAAGAGGAGAGATTTGGGGTGGAAGAATGAGTTCAGTTTTGACCTTCATCTCTCTCATCCTCAGTGTCTTCCTCTACAAAATGAGTAAGTTGGATTATGTGGGCTCTGAAGTGTCTTCCAACTTCCAACATAGATCTAAGATCTATGACTGTAGGTATTCTCATTTGATATTTATTAGTATCTGCACATTACGATGGGTGGGGGGGGGGAGTAAGGAACGGAGAGATTGGAACTTATCTGTTACTTGCCAGTCTGAAGTTCAGCCCAGGATTCTAGTCAATGGACACCATCTTCCTCTCATTTTCCTATGCATTCATTTACATACCCTTCTAAGACCACCTCTGTTCAGCAGCCTTCTAAATCCCAATAATTCCTGAGTTAAAAAAGGTTGCTTTTCTTGTGGTCATAGTGTTATACAACCCTGACAGACACATGTCAAAATTCCCCTAAATGGAACAATAGGTTCCAAATGGCAACAGGAAACCAGGATGAATTTCACGCAGCTCGTACAAGGCTCCCATTTTATTCTGTAGTAACTATGGCAATGGCTTTTAGGTCACCACAAACTGCTGTGCTAAAGGGCCCACGGGTGGTGCTCTGATTGCAGATTTGACTGTGGGGTGTTTATCATGGCTCCAGACTCTTAGTTACTGCTTTATCTGTCTGATTAACTGGATAAAAGATATGCTAACCTCCATAACTTCTAAGGAATGCCGTGTTGGGCAATATTTCCACTTACAATTTCACCCTAGTTTGCACTTGTCTGAAGTTGTTCAGACAAGATGTTTGAAAAGGTTCTCCTGAAGGAAGGCCCTGTAGACAGTGCTGAAGAAAATGGAAGATGACTATTTACCTCAGGCTGTAGTTGCACCTTAAATTCAAAGGGGGCCACCCAGAACTACGCAATACCTGATACCTAACTAGCCACCTTTATTTCTACACCAGCAGTAACTTTTCTTGAGCCTTTTTTTGTCTAGATTCTCAAGGGAATGGTTAAAGGCTACACTTCTCTCAGGAAGTAGACACAGTTCTAGAAATGTTCTAGTCAATGAGCATTATTTATAGAGTACCTGAGAGCTTGGAATCTGAAATCCACTTAACTCATTGTATCCTGAAGGCTAGGCTGGTTTTGGCTGAACCCTGTGGATTCACTATGTCCTAACCCAAAGGGGTGGAGTTCTGGGATTAATGGGTTTAAATGGAGGTGCCCGGATCTAAGAACCTGAAACGTCTACTGGTGCCAGCAGAGGGCACTAATGAAGTGCCCACAGCTATTTTTTTCCCTTCATTTTTTTTTTAAAGTTTTATTAATGTGTTTTGTTTTTACATTACATACATTTACAGATTATTCCTACTTGGTGAGAGGTCTGTTGTAAGAAAGTAAAACACAAAACTAATAATACAATGACTTCATCTGAAAATGCATGTTTCACATTAGTTTCACATCTATAGCTACTTCCACCTTCAACTCTATGAAAAAAAAAAGAACAGAAATCTGTTTTCTCTCCCTCCTAACCCAACTTCGTTAGAAAATAAAAACAAATTTCTTGTAATAAATATGCATACTTAAGCAAAATAAAGAGCACACTGGGTCTGGAGTCAGGAAGACTCATCATCTTGAGTTCAAATGTGACCTCAAATATTTATTAGCTGTGTGACTTCAGGCAAGTCACTTAACCTTGTTTCCCTCAGTTCCTCATCTGTAAAATGATCTAGAGAAGGAAATGGTAAACCGCTCCAGTATCTTTGCCAAGAAAACACCAAATGGGGTCACAAAGAGGTTGACATGACTGAAATGATGCAATAATAACAACAAATTTCCTCCACGATCATATACAAAAATAAGGTTGTTTGATTCCCTCTATTGTATTCTCTTATCCTTTTTCTTCTTTATCCTCCTCTACTCCTCTTTATTTCAAGTTGTTGACTCCCC